CATGAGGAAGTTGCCTCACATCCTATCCTATCCTCACATAATCCTCTTGCTTCAGCCAAGTTTCTGTAAGGCAACATAAATCAATGTGATTATCACAAATCAAGTCATTAATTAACAAACATTTTGAAGAGATATATCTAGACTTAGACAAACTTGATTGATTGATTGATTGATTGATTGATTGATTGATTGATTGATTGATTGATTGATTGATTGATTGATTGATTGATTGATTGAATTTATCGATCTCACGTTAGAGAAATTTACTTGTTACATCAGCTCAAATTGTCAGAAAGAGAAGAAGAAGGGACCAAAGGAAGAAAAAGGTGCATGGGATATATAAATATACAGTATGTACAGTGTGTCCACATATGACAGCTTCTTTTTTTATAGCAGGATGATTATACAGGGTTATTGAATAGGGTGATTTCATGGGTATTTGTGTAGATGGATATTTATATATATAGCTATCGCACTGGATGTCAGATAGAAAAAGGCAATAACCTGAAAGAAACAGGTTATTGCACAGGTTATTGAATAGTTATTGCACATAAACTGTGTAAAAAAACAGTTTAACTCATCTGCAAACCTGGTGTCACTGTCTGCAGCCCTGTTGCTGGTGGTCCTCTGTCCAAAGCTAGAGATGTTCATGAGACCCCTCCACACATCTCTGATGTTTCTTGCCAGCTGTTCCTCTATCTTCCTCCCATAGCCCTTCTTTTCCGCCCTAATCTTCCATTGGAGCTCTCGCTGAACTCTGTGCTGCTCTTCTCTGTCCCCTGAGTTGAAAGCTCTTCTTTTCTGGTTCAGGAAGACTTTCAGCTGAGGAGTCACCCAGGCGTGGTTGTTCTGGAGGGTCCGTAGCCGTTATATGGGCACTGTAATCTTTACACAGAGGGTCATGTAGTCAGTGAGACATTGAGTCTGGCTGTTAAAGTCATCTCCATGAAAGCTTTGGAACATGCTCTAGTCTGTGGTTCTGAGACAGTCCCTCAATTTTTCAGTGGCCTCATCTGACCAAACTTTCACTGACTTATTCTGCACTTCTGCATTTTCCTTCTCACCACTGCCATCACGCCAAATTCACAACACATGTCATCTCAAGGCACTTTACAGTTCAACCAGATCATACAGTCAAATTGATACAAAGTTTT